GCATTGGTGAAAGTCACCAATGATCTTCTCCTAGCCTCAGATAAAGGACTTGTCTCCATACTTGTCCTCTTAGATCTCAGTGCTGCTTTTGACACCACTGATCACAGCATCTTACTGCAGAGACTTGAACAGGATTAAAGGAACTGCGCTAAGTTGGTTCAAATCCTATTCATCAGAAAGATTCCAATTTGTTCATGTTAATGATGAATCTTTTGCACAGACAAAGCTCCATCATATTTTAAAAGACCTCGTAGAGCCTTATCATCCTAACAGAGCACTTCGCTCTCAGAGTGCAGGTTTACTTGTGGTTCCTAGAGTCCACAGAAGTAGAATGGGAGGCAGAGCCTTTAGCTATCAAGCTCCTCTCCTATGGAACCAACTCCCAGTCTCAGTTCGGGAGGCGGACACCCTCTCTACCTTTAAGATTAGACTTAAGACGTTTCTTTTTGATAAAGCTTATAGTTAGGGCTGGATCAGGTGACCCTGAGCCTTCCCTTAGTTATGCTGCTATAGGCCTAGGCTGCTGGGGGGCCCCATGATGCTCTGAGTTTCTTTCCCAATCTGATTTTAAATTGCCCTTATGTATGAAAATGTCGTATAGGCTATATATATATACTTGTCTTGCCTTACAAGTATAGAAGCTGTAAGAATTACAAGAAATTCCCAGGTCTTGTGATACCTTGGCTAATTTGTAGATCTTAAATATTATTAGTTGATTTCTTCGTTCAGAAAAATAATTAACAAAGCTAAAAAATTATTCATTATTTCCCAAAATATTTCAAAGATTCCTTTGCTGATCAAATGCGAAGATTGGCTGATACTCTTTGTAAACAGAATATATTAGGCTTCTGGATTAATATACACAAACCTTGTGCTTCCTGGAAAGACTGGTGCCAGGCTTGTAGCTTTATTCTCACGAAGACTTGAGGCTGTCATTGCAACCAAAGGTGCTTTAACCAAGTGCTAAGTGACGGGTCTGAATACTTATGGGATGTTTTAGTCTTGTATTTTTAATTACAAAATACTTCAAAAACCTTTTTTCATTTTATCAATGTGGAGTATTTTGTGTAGACCGATGAGAAAAAAATGAATTGAAACCATTAATTATGAGTCTGAAACATAACAAAATGAGAAAAACTGGAAAGGGTCTGAAAACTTTCCACACTGATTGTATGCATTTCTGGTGAAGCGCTGTTCTTTTCAAAGTGGACAACAAGTGCCAGGCAGTGCAGCTCAGTTAAAGGATCAACAACAACAAGAAGGCAGTGCAGACTGCATTCTGAGATTGGGAACTCCCACTAAAAGTGAGACATGAGCAGCACATAAACTACTGAAGTGTTTGATCCATTCAGTCCACACCGACTATGAGAACTGGCCTTGACCTGTAGCAGCCAAGAAGAACACACAGATAAAGTAAACTCTCCCATCAGAAACAAGTCGTATTCTGGATTAAGAAGGACACAGTGTGAATGATAAGTTTTTAACAAACCCCTACTGCAATGTAGGACATGTTTTTTTCCACAGTTTTGTATGTATAGGGGTGTGGCTCAGGAGGTAGCTTGCTGGGTAGCTTGTGAATTTTCCACCATAGATCAATGAGTTCTTTTAATTATACTGAATTTTTTTGCATTAATTTGGTTATGAAAAGTAACTAGTATCTAAACTTATAAAATACACATAGTGAAGTAAAAAGTACAATTTTTGCTTCTAAAATGTAGTGAAGTTAAAGTATGAACTAACAGAAATGAAAATACTCAAGTACAGATGCTTCAAAATGGCATTTAAGTACAGTACTTGACTAAATTTGTTTCGTTACTTTCCACTACTGGTTAGTTAACAGATTTGGGGCTTTTTTCTGTTTTGAGGTTTTTAGTTTCTTCTGAAAAGAATTCCCATCTTATTAGAAGGGCAGTTTTTCAGTAGCTCCTCTTCCCTGGCCTGGCGGTGAGTCGGCACATAAAATAAACAGCCAACTAATGTCGGGATTTATTAGAACAAGAACTAGCACAATGCCCTCCGGGCCTCCAGAGGGCAGCACTGCTCAGGTGGCGGAGGAAGCGGATACTGTTGGAGATCCAACAGTATCCGCGGTGGGAAGTGTTCTGTTTTCATCTGTCCCCGTGTTGATGGAAACAAGTGGGCTACAGGACTGTGAAAATATTTTTAAATAAGCTTTTAAGTTAAGCATAGACCGTAAGTGGACATGGGCGATGGGTCTGGAGATGACGATCTGTTTGGCACTATTCTTTTGGCGGACGAAAGGTGACTTTTTTGGCAGCTGAATGTCTAATTTACTAGGACGTGGTTAGTGTTCCTGAGATTAGTCTGTCAGCTCGGCATACAACCGAATTATAAAGCAACAGCTGTTTCGCTGAAAATTGTGTCGAGGCTGTAGGGTATAAGATAAACGGTCTCTAGCTATAAACACTGACTGTAGCTAGTGTGTTTGTTTTCAGGTTCCGAGGGGAGGGCTATGAGCAGGGATTTGAGAAAGGGACACGCCGAGGGCTGGAGGATGGCCGCAGACATGGAGCCCGTCACGGGGCCAAGCTGGCCGCGGAGGTGAGCCAGGTCATTCTGGGAATGTGACCCTGGAAGGCTGCACCTGGAGTTTCATCCGTCTGTTCCTCATTTATCTGCCATGCTGTTATCAGACTTCGGCCACACCAAACTAGCTAGCCTCAGGTCAAGTTCTTTATTAACATGTGCACAGGTACAGGTGTACACGTACATGTTTTCTCACTGTAACGCAACACAAATACAATTGTACCGAAGCACATGTACATAAAAGACAGCACCAGTTATTATACAAGGAGGACAACTATCCTAAGATGGGAGGAAAAGATCCTAAATAAAAAACAGCTACAGATGGGGCCTGTCGAATATGAAGGGACAGTTTGTTCCATAGTTTTGAAGCAGAAACTGCAAAAGTGCACGGCCACCTCTAAATGTTCTCTGCATCTTTGGGACCACCAGGAACGCCTGGTCAGCAGAGCTAAGAGGTCTTGCTGGCGATCAAAAGCTCAGAGGATCAGAAAGGTTCAAGGGGGCTAGACCATTTAATGCTTTAACAGATTCCAGTTAAATTTTAAACTGTATTGTAAAAGAATCATGTAGCCAGTGAAGGGAAGCCAAAATAGGACTGATGTGCTTCGTGCTGCCGCATTTTGGACAAGCTGAAGATTGTTTAAAGAAGAATTGGAAATATGGATATAGATTGCATTGCAGTAATCTAACTGACTGGACACTAAAGTATGACTAGCCCTTTCCAGGTCACTTTTTGGAAAGAAATGTTTTACCTTAGAGAGAAGTCAAATTTGGAAGAAACTCGCACTGACAACGGCATTAATCTAGTTTGAAGGCACCTGTCCATAATGACACCCAGATTTTTAACAGTGGGTTTCACAAAAGATCTTAAGGGTCCTAGAATCAAGGAAACTGCTTTTTGTGGAACACTAGGACCAAAAAGTATAAGTTCAGTATTTTCATTTCACTGTAAAAAGTTAGATGCCATCCAGCCTCTCATGTCTGTCAAGCAATCAGTCAGCAGCTTTACACAACTGTTTCTCTGGAGCGTCCAAGGGAAATACAGCTGAGTATCATCAACAAAACCATGAAAAGAGACACCATGTTTCCTAATAAGAGACTCTAAGGGATAAATATAGAGCAGAAATAGGATCAGGCCAAGAACAGAACCCCGAGGACAAAGGGGAAATAGAGGAAACAAAGTTCCCAAGATCAACTGTAAAGCTTCTATCAGAAAGATGAGGTGAACCATTTTAGTGGTATAGAGTGTTCAAGACGAGAAATTAGAATTTTATGTTCAGCTGTATCAAAAGCCACACAAACAGCAGTAGGGTGGTCAGAAACTGCAACCAGAAGTAGGTCATTAATACTCTGAGAAGAGCGGATTCCGTACTGTGATAAACTTTAAAAGCAGATTGAAATGGCAACATAAAGTGAAGGGGAAAAACTTACTGTGGGTGGGGAGAGAAAGACATTTATTTTGCACTGGAAAAGTACTGATATTTGATTTAAGTGCTGCAATACTGCACATATTAATAGGCCAGTGGGGGGCTACTCTCCACATAAGGTATGGCAGGTGAAATAAGACAGACGGCAACCGTTGGTGTCTTTAAAAGTTACTCAAACAGGCAATGGGTGAAAAAATCAGGAGGTCATTTTTGTTATGATAGCTCGCAAGATGTGTCCACCTAGATAAGAAACTGAGTCACAACTTTTAAATTGTGTAGTGGACCAAATATTTTTTGTCCAGATGGATAGACTTGGACAAGCATCCAGGGATTTTAAAATATCGTAGGAACAAGAGTAAGTGTTTTTAAATGAACTTGGTTTTACAAACCTTGTGAGTTAATGAACAAGACCACTGGTCACCTCTGCATCTGAATGTGTGAAATGAGGGCCACAAACTGGGGCTGCATCCAGATGTGCTCGTTTCCTATGTGCTTTCAGTCGTGTTCACTACAAACTTCACAGAGTATAACTGAGATGATTAACAGTAGTGACCATCTGTATGGATAATTAGCAGTGCTCCCCATCACACCTCTTACATGTTGAACATACATTTAAATGCATGGTCAGTTGGACAGGTTTTTTTTTTTTTGTGAATGAGTTGAGTTGTGTTTCTTTCAGCCGCTCAGCTTTGTTTCCTGTTGCCCTCTACCTCACAGGTTTCCTTCTATTATGGGTTTGCTGTCACATGGAAATGTCTCCTCCAACATAACACAGATGTCAAAGCAAGGTATAGTTTTCCCTTGAATTGTCACTTCAGCACTTTGTTGGAGGATTATAATAGTGATTATTTATTGGTTGATTGTACATCTGTAGAGTTTCTTCTGCTTTGGTTTAAACATTGAAGTGACCAGACTTTTGTTATATTATTAGTTATTATGACAGCTGTTGTGTTCAGCGAATGTTACTGATCATGGATGTGATTGGAGCCACAGTGAATGTCCTGTTTCATCAGTTTGCATCTGTGTATGTGTGTGTGTGTGTGTGTGTGTGTGTGTGCTGTCAGAAAGCGGACCAAAGCTCTGGAGACTCTCCTGGATTTGATACAGAACTCTGTTCATGATGACCCGCAGTCTGCAAGGCTACAGGAGGACATGGAGAAGATTCGGGCCAAGTTCAGACAGGTACTCGACTGAATGGGTAACGGCAGCTGTTTACTGTAGTCTGCTGCTCTCCAGCTACATCAGCTGTCAGAGCCATTTTATTAAAACACCTCTTTTGTTTCCTAAGACAAAACTGAGTGGCGTGAACAGTGTTCACATAAATGTAACTATGTCCTGACTGTATATTATGTAACAGGTTTGTATGTTTATGATTTTCATTTGATAAGTAATTTCCAGTCTCCTGTTCTGGTCAAGGTTTTAATAGGAAGTATTAACAGATTTCAGACCAGTACAGTCGCTTCAGGTAGTATTTAGAACCCTTCACATTTTTCGCACTTAGTGTTGCAAATTTAATTTTAAATAGTTACAGTGCCTTGCAAAAGTACCCCTTGAATTTTTCCACATTTTGTCATGTTACAACCACAAACTTAAAAGTATTTTATGTGATAGATGCCACGCTTTTCAGATTTTTACTTGTAAAAAATCTTGAACACCACATATCATTTACCTTCCACTTCATAATTATGCGATGCTTGTTTATGCGAGGCGTGTTTAAAGGAAACTTTACATATTATTAACACATTTTCTAAGATCTCAAACTACACAATAAACTGGAATAAATCCACCATACTACCACTCTCTGAGGATGCCTGGGATTCTGCAGCTAAAGAC